CTGGCACTCCAGGTTGGAGGCTAGATGGACACAGGCAAACACCTAAGAAATGGGAAAAGTTAAAAGCCTGGTGGCCACATGAGAGATGGAGGCCCACAGTGGGCACCCACAGCTGAGCAGCCTTATGACTGAGTTCAGGATCTGGGTCTCCTATGTCAGCACTGAGTCAGCTGCAAGACAGATTCTGGGAGTCATCACAGCTCACATTCTCTCCATCTCAGATTTGCTAGGCAGCTACAGTCTGTGTGGGCTCTGGACTTAAGGGACACAGACATTTATACACAGAATTGTCACCTGGGCATCAAGAATATAGTGCAGAAAGAAGCAGCATCAAATGGAAGGCAGTACTAGAGCTCCGTGAAGGAAGGGCAGTACTTTGTCACACGCAGAGTGTGGAGCAGGGAGAGGGAGCCAAATGTGTAAGGGAGGCAGCACAGCCTCACAGGGCTACAGGGAGAACCTGACCAGGCTGGCCTCGAATCTGAAGACAAGGCAGGAACAGCAATGATCATTAACAACCATTCCTCTGTCCATTGATCTCTGTTGCTCCTGAAAGCTCAGATCTATCCCTTGTGCCTGCAGCCATGTGGCACAGAAGCCAGCAAAACCATACTGGGGGGCCTCAGAGTCTCCCAAAGAAGCCGGGTGCCAGTGGCTTATACCTGTAATCCTAGCTACTCAGGAGGCTGATCTGAGGATCATGGTTCAAAGCCAGCCTGGGCACAAAAGTCCGTGAGACTCTTATCTCCAATTAACCACCAGAAAACCGGAAGTGGCGCTGTGGCTCAAGTGATAGAGCACTTGCCTTGAGCTTCAGCCTAAGGAATGGATTGGCGTTCCCCTCCCCCTCCCACCTCCACAGCCTTGTATAGTAAGAGAGTTGGCACTAGAAATCCCCTTCAGGTACATCATCTGAAGACTGCTCTTCCTGGCTGCCACTTCAAGCCCAGAGGTAGGGGAAGCGGGGTGAAATTAAAAGATATTGGTGAAAATATTCCCTTCCTATTTCTTGCAGAAAGAAGAGGTTATAGCTGTGATGGAAGAACTTTTCAAGATATTCTTAGCTAAAATTAACGGTATGTGAAATCAATAACCCAGATGCCTAGGAGAGTGAGAGACACAGGAGAGGGGCACGCATCACCCTGCAGGGCTGCAGCACAATGCACGGGGTCCCAGCCTCACCTGGATCCCAAGCCCTTCCTCTCAAGATAGACGAGGCAACATCGGGAAATGGTCAAAATGAAAACCAGATCAAAATTGTCCCTCTATAGCTCCCCCCCAAACAAACAGATCCACAGGTGTCTAAGAATCAATGCTGTCAGGCCACTGAGTAGAACATGGCCCTATCTCACCTCGTGTAATATCACACAGAGATTAAGGGTTTGATAACTCTAAATGGTGGGGTCATAGCCCTTGTGACAGTGATGCTGAAGGAGCGACATGGAATCTGCACAGACTTCAGGTGAATCCTCAAGTTCAAAGTAGTGCAGTGACCACCACAAACAGCAGGGCCTAAGGCCCAGTGTTATAAGGTAGTGAGTCAGACCTGCCAGTGTGTCACATGGCGTCAATATTAGGCTACCATCAGGTTTTCATCTGCTTCTGGAATCTCTCTTTCTACTGCACTCTCACCCCGCCCCAGACCCCATCTCAACACACTGGGTAAGACTATGCAGGTCTGTATGCAGTCACACTGATGAGTGGGTAGGGCAGTGATTGCTCTTAGAGCCCAGAGGACCCTCCATGTGACTAGGACTAAAACAAGCCACCCCGGAGTGTGTTTGTCTTCCTTCAACCTCTATCACAACCTATTATTTCAGAGCTATTGAATCAAGCCAACATGCCAGAAACAGTGACCATCGGCTCCCTAGAGGACACCAATATCAAGCTGACCAAGACGGTAAGGGAAATATTTTTCTGGGGCTGGGAAGGTAGTTCAGTGGTAGAGCGCTTGCCTTGCATGTATGAGGCCCTGGGTTTGATTCCTCAGCACCACAGAAGCAGAAAAAGCCAGAAGTGGTGCTGTGGCTCAAGCGGTAGAACACTAGCCTTGAGCTGAAGAGATGAGGGACAGCGTCCAGGCCCACAATGCAGGCCACAAGACAAAAAAAAAAAGAAAGAAATATTTTTCTTTTTGTCTGTTCAGTTGGTTTAGTTGGTTTTGTTTTATTCTTGGCCATACTGAGGACCAAACCCAGGGCCGTGTGTATACAAGGCATGCATTCTGCAAACATTTCTCTTTTACACTACAACCCACACTGTGCCTTCCCTCAAGGGGTCAGATCAGATGACACTGCTATTGCTAAAAGTGGCAGAAAGCCAAGCCCAGGCTACTTTTAAGCAACAATTAAAATATTGGTATTGAACAGCCAGCATGGTGACAGCTACCACAATGGCTTCACTGATCGAATAACACCACAACCAGTGTTGTGAATCTATTGTTTCTGGATGGGCTGTTTTGGGGTTACATGGAGGCCCCCCACCTACCAAACATCACCCTCTGCTTCTGTCCCTGATATGTGCAAACAACCATCACCAGAAATAACCTCTGGGACTCACACTGATGTGATCTGTTTACTTCCCACCCCTGAAGCAAGAACCTGGCAGGGAATGGAGTGCCCTGAACTGTCTGATAAATTGTCTCTTATCTCCTCACAGAATGACCTACAGGCAGCAAAGTGAACCCTGCACACCTGAAGCTAGGCAAGGATCCCTCAACAAAAGCAAAACCCTCTGTACAACTTTGCCTATGAAATATGGAATTGACATCCTTATGATTTAAGTAGCGTTAGTCTTAAGATGTCAGGAACCCTTTGGAATTTCACCAATTGCCGCAGGGATTTCTGGCACTGTTGTAATCAGTTCTTTAATAAACAATCTTTCTTCAAGCAAAAAAAGGATTCACTGGTCTTCATTACTTGTACATAAGAATCTTTGTTTACAACTAGTCAGAGAAATTCTTAACACAGGATTGAAAAAAACAGCATGAATGGAAGAAAAAAATGACACAAGTAACAAAATCCACTGTTACCTTGTATACAAAGGGACAAGCACAATAATGATTAACACATTTCTTCCTGTGAGTCTGCCTGGACCTCTCTAGGGTAGGTTGGATCTGCAATGTCTTCCAAAGGCCCATGTGTTTAAGGCTTTGTCTCCAGCTGGGTGCTACTGGGTGTGGTGAAGCCTTACGGATTGGTGCCTAGACAGAGGTCTTTAGATCACTGGGGTGTGCTCTTGAAGGGGACGGTAGGGCCTTGTTCTTTTTTCTTTTTTCCTCTTGGTAATGAGGTGAGTGCTTTGATCCCTACACACTCCCCACCAAGGGCAGCCTCACCAGGCCCAAAAGAAACAAGACCAATAGTTCATGGACTGGGGCCTCTAAATTTGCAAACCAAAATAAACTTTTATTTTAGTTGACTCTTGTTTTAACAGCAGAAAGCTAACACTCAAATCTAAATGCTTTGTTTTGCATGTTGATCCAATATGAGAGTCATACAGGGGCTAGAATCCCACTCCTCCACATTAAGCACTGAAGGGAACAATCAAATACAAAACACGGGAGATAAAGAGCAGGTAAGAGGGCTGGGAAGGTGGCTCAGTGGTAGAGCGCTTGCCTTGCATGCATGAGGCCCTGCATTCAATTCCTCAGCACCCCACAAGCAGAAAAAAACGGAAGTGGTGCTGTGGATCAAGTGGTAGAGCGCTAGCCTTGAACTGAAGAGCTGAGGGACAGCGCCCAGGCCCAGAGTTCAGGCCCCATGACTGGACCCCCCCCTCCCCAAAAAAAGAGCAGGTAAGATCCTGGTAACACCACAAAGCAGGCAAGCAAGGGCTATAAGTCTCCACAATATACCCACAAAGGATCTGGGAACACAGCTGCTGCCTGTAGGTCAGGCACAGACTCTCGGCCTTGCACCCAGTGTTAGCCAGAGGTGACTACTCCAGCACCACAAACGCTCACCATAAACACAAAGACTACACGGGGGCCTGTCTCACAGTGAGGAACAGTACACTACTGCCTTTAGCTTCTGCCCAGATTTAACGTTTCAATTTTTCCCCACGTCAGACTTCCCCACCAATCACACCCAGGTAAATAGCCATCTACTCTACTCCACTTTTCTAACCAGACACTTGACACACTATTTTTCCTTTTTTGACTGTGTGTGCTTACACAAGTGCTTGTATTTGTTTTTTGAGACAGTCTCACTATATAGACTTGACCTCATATTCCTCCTGCTTCAGTCTCCCAAAGGCTGAGATTACAGTTATGCACTACAACACCCAACTCATTCTTAATTTCTTCCTCTTACCAATACACCAAGCCCTGTGGATTCTACCTCTCCTATCTGTGCTTCCCTCCTTCCCCTTCCTAGTACAAGTCACCCTCATTAGCCCTCAGAGCAGCTGGGCTCCCAGCTTCTGCTCTTTTACATATTAGGATGCAGTGCCTGGAATTGAACCCAGCACCATACATATGCTAGGCAAGTGCTCTTGCATTAAGCTATCCCTCTACCTTCATATGACTCTTAAGCAATAGTGGTGACTTCAACCATAGTATCTCCAGGTTATAGCTTAACAGTTGTTTTCATGAAGCGCAGAGCTAAAAGTAACTGCAGTAGTAAACAGGCCAAGGACTACCACTAGGAACCTATTCCTGAGACATGGGATTCTCCAAGCACTCCCAGACCTGCACACGGTGAATGAGCTGACAGGCTACACAAGAAGTCCACAGGCAAAATGGGTAGACTACCGTGCAACAACCGGCAGCTGGACCATTGGCAGCAAATAAAAATGTCAAATGGCTCCCACCATCCCCTCCTTCAGTCTCTACTACACAGAGTCCAGGGGGAAACCCACAGGCTGGCAGTGTCTGCAATAGAAACTGGGCTGGCAAACACTTAAGACTGTAGAGAAAATGGCAACACTTCGTTGGAAACACTAATCTTGGCAAAAAAAAAAAAAATGAAGTGGAAGTAGAGAGGCAAAGGGGCTGATGGTTTAAGTAAATTTAATGATTGTACAGTTGTTCATGAGGCAGCAGAGATGCATTTTTCCACTCACTGCAGTTGCTTCACCACTTGCAGCCTGTCTTCCAAGCTTTGTTGCTTCTTTCTTTAGTGACCGGTCAAGTCTCTCTCCTGTTGGGAAGGACTGGTCAAGTCCACTGAGGCCAGCTGCTAAGGTCAGCGATGTGCTGAGGAGTCCTTCAGAGTGGTCCTACAGAGGCTGTGTCCCCTGAGGGTCTGGGAGCTGGCAGAGGTGATCTGAAAGGAAACCAGTCAGAAGAAGGTGAGGTGAGCAGGACTGCAATACGCTGACTGACCATCGAGCCTCTACAGAAGTCACCAAAAGGAATCTGGCAGAGGTGACAGGCCAACAGAGAATGTCACTCCTGTGTCTCCAGCCCTGGGGGAATGTCCCACGGAATGGCAATACATCTAATGTGAAAGCCAATTCCAGGTCCAGGTCCTTCTCAAGATGTGCTTTTTGCTTTTCTCTTGGGCGATGGCTCCTCTCCAGCTCCAACCACAAGATTTAGATATTTATAAGATTATGTCTTTGTTGCCTTGTATGTCCCTCCCCCATGGTACAACCTCTGCTTTCACTATATATGATGTTGGTATATGTGGAGGGGAAGGGAAAAACAAATTGTTAAAACAGGGATACAGGAGGACCCATTGTAACAATGAGATGTACAAGTCATTATGTTGAAAACCAAACTTTACAACTTTGGTGGGGAGGGGATGGGGGGGGGGGGGGGAGGGAGGATACCAAGGGACGGGAAGGGGAAACAAAGCAGGAGGCTACAATGCTTGATAAGAAATGTGCTCAGGGCTGGGAAGGTGGCTCAGTGGTAGAGCGCTTGCTTTGCATGCATGAGGTCCTGGGTTCGATTCCTCAGCACCACATAAGCAAAAAGAAAAAAGCCGGAAGTGGTGCTGTAGCTCAAGTGGTAGAGCGCTAGCCTTGAGCTGAAGAGCTGAGGGACAGCACCCAGGCCCAGAGTTCAGGCCCCATGACTGGACCCAAAAAAAAAAAAAGAAATGTGCTCATTATCTTACCCATGTAATTGCAACCCCTCTGTACAGTATTTTCACAATAAAAAAATATTAAAAAAAAAAAAAAATCCAGCTGGGTGTTAATGGCTTGACCTGAAATCCTAGATATTTAAAGAGCGTAAAATCCAGAGAACTGTGATTCAAGGCCAGTTCAGGCCAAAAAAAATCATGACACTCCATCTCCAAAATAACCAGCCAAGGCTAGGCTGGAGGTGTGGGACAAGTGGTAAAGCATCAGCTGACCAAGTTCAAAGCAAGACCCTGAATTCAAACCCTAATGCTAGGGTTGGGAGGGGGAGGAATAAAACTCTAGGAAAAAAACTTTATTCACCTACATATTCCACACCAACACTTATTCCACCATATAAAAAGTCTAAAACAGGGCTGGGAAGGTGGCTCAGTGGTAGAGTGCTTGCCTTGCATGCCTGAGGCCCTGGGTTCGATTCCTCATAAGCAAAAAGAAAAAAGCCAGAAGTGGCACTGTGGCTCAAGTGGTAGAGTGCTAGCCTTGAGCTGAAGAGCTGAGGGACAGCGCCCAGGCCCAGAGTTCAGGCCCCACGACCGGAACCAAAAAAGAAAAAAAGCCCAAAGCATATCTTACTTTCACCAGAACATAGTCCCCAGGCTGGGCTCTGCCTGTGAGCTCAGGATTAGTGACATCTTCCATTTCTACATCAGGGAAGACCACCTTAAGGTTCCCATCATTCCGGCCACACAACTCAGTGGAAGAGCGCTTGCTCAGCTGCAGAAAAGAACAAGAGTTTATAAATAGTCCTAAGTTCTAGGAGAGTCCCAGTATCAGCACATACATGTGCACATACATATATACAACACACAATTCAATTGCATTTCTATACAATAGCAATTAAATACATCAGTATGGATAAAACAAAACATGTAGGGAGCCGGGCACCAGTGGCTCATGCCTGAATCCTAGCTACTTAGGGGGCTGAGATCTGAGGGTCATGCTTCAAAGCTGGTCTGGGCAGGAAAGTCCATGAGACTCTTATCTCCAATTAACCACCAGAAAACCAGAAAGTGGCACTATAGCTCAAGTGGTAGAGCGTTCACTTTGAGCTGAAGAGCCAGGGACAGCACCCAGAGTTCGAGCCCCACAACTGACAAAAAAAATAGATAGATAGATATGACTTGGATGGGTACCAGTGACTCACACCTATAATCCTAGCAACTTCAGTGGGATGAGATCTGAGTATATGGTTCAAAAGCAGTAGGAGCAGGAAAAGTCTGTGAGACTCTTATCTCCAATTAACACCAAAAAAGCCAGAAGTGAAGCTGTGGCTCAAGTGGTGGAACATTAGCTTTGTGCACAAAAACTCAGACCCTGAGTTCAAGCCCCAGGACCCACACCAAAAAAATAAATAAGCCAGATGCCAGTGGCTCATGCTACCCAGAAGGCTGAGATCTAAGGATTGCAGTTCAAAGCCAGCCCAGGCAGAAAAGTCCGTGAGACTCTTATCTCCAATAAACCACCAGAAAACTGGAAGTGGCTCAAAGTGGCAGAATTCTAGGCTTGAGGAAAAAAGCTAAGGGACAGTGCCCAGGCTCCAAATTCAAGCCCCATGACAAAAAAACAGAAACAAAAAAACTATCTAAATGAAGGAGAGACACACTGTGTTGTTTGGTTTTTTTGTTATTTGCTGGTCATGGGCCTGAACTCTGGGCCTAGGCATTGTGCCTCAACTCTTCAGCTCAAGGCTAGAGCTCTACTACTTGAACCACAGTGCCACTTCCAGCTTTTTCTTTTTTGGATCCAGTCGTGGGGCCTGAACTCTGGGCCTGGGCGCTGTCCCTCAGCTCTTCAGCTCAAGGCTAGTGCTCTACCACTTGAGCCACAGCACCACTTCTGGCTTTTTTTTTTCTTTTTGGCTTATGTGGTGCTGAGGAATCGAACCCAGGGCCTCATGCATGCAAGGCAAGCGCTCTACCACTGAGCCACCTTCCCCGCCCACTTCCAGCTTTTTCTGCTTATGTGGTGCTGAGGATTCGAACCCAGGGCCTCGAGCATGCAAGGCAAGTGCTCTACCGCTGAGCCACCTTCCCACCCCCTGACACACTGTGTTGTGAAAACAAAAACAAAATATATGCATATCCAGGTGGCCTCACCCCCTCCACCAGCACCAGCTGGGTACAACCCACAAAAGTCTTATTGGTTTTTGAAGCTTCTTCTCGGAAGACATTAATAAGTTCTTCCAAACGCCTTAATTTTACTTCTTCTGGGACGTCATCTTTTAGTCTGTGGTAGGCCCGAGTCTTCTATTAATTGAAAAAGAGAAAATAAAGGTCATTAAGGACTTGGAGAATCCATTCATAGTCCTCTGAATAGGAATATGTCCAGTCTATCTGCAAGTTACAGACATATGTGCACCCAAGTGTGAACCTAGAGGTTTATTTCTCTGTTCTGGGAGCATTCTATAAGAAAAAGGTAACTAGTAGAATCTGTTTTGCAGGAGTCAAATTCTAAACTTATCTCATTATAATCACTTAAAGTTGCTCTTGAGAAACATCCTAGGGTTACTAAAGGACATACACTACATGATTTGTATACAAGCTTATCACCAACACTTCTAAGCAGCCTAAATGCTTATCAAGAGGTACCTAGTAAATTATGATATATCTACACAATGGAATATTATAAAAATGTCAAGAAGGGTTGGGAAGGTGGCTCAGTAGTAGAGCGCTTGCCTCGCATGCCTGAGGCCCTGGGTTCGATTCCCCAGCACCACATAAGCAAAAAGAAAAAAGCCGGAAGTGGCACTGTGGCTCAAGTGGTAGAGCGCTAGCCTTGAGCTGAAGAGCTGAGGGACAGTGCCCAGGCCCAGAGTTTAGGCCACACGACTGGATCCAAAAAAAAAGTCAAGAAGAATGATAGTTCTAACTGGGCTTCCTAACTACTCAGGAGGCTAAGATCTGAGTATCTTAGCTTAAAGCCAGTCTAGGCAGAAAAGTCCAAGAAATTTCATTTTCTATTAGTCAGCATAAAAACTGTACTGGAGCATAAAAACTGTACCACTCAAGTGGTAGAATATCAGTTACGGAAAAGCCAAGTGAGAGCATGAGGCCCTGAGTTCAAGCCCTGGCACCAGCATACACATACATACATACACACAGAGGAAAGAATGGTAGCTCTAAAGCTAAAGCTAGTCATGGTGCGCATATAACTGTAACTCCAGCACTTAAGATGCTGTAACAAGATTTTGAGTTAGAGATCAGCCTGGCCTACATAGTGAGACTTATCTCGAACAAAAGAAAAGAAAAGCTAAGTGTAATATATAGTAGACAAGAGTTTAACAGAAGGAAGGTGCCAGTGGCTAATGTCTATAACACTAACTACTCAGGAGGCTGAGATCTGAGGACTGTAGTTTAAAGCCAGTCCAGGCAAGACTCTAGTCTGTGAGACTCTTATCTCCAATAAACTATTCAGAAAAAGCTGGAAGTAGCACTGTAGAGCACTAGCCAAGAGAGTTTAACAGAAAAAAGAAAAAGGAATGTCCCCTCAGCCCAACCCAAGTTGATGAGAATACCTGGCAGCCCTCCATCCCAGGCTCACCTGTCTCATGCTATAGGCAAAGAGAAAGCCCACATTGTACTGAACATCCCGAAGCAGAGACACTGTCTGCAGGTGATCTTCCTCTGTCTCCCCACAAAAGCCAGCAATGAAGTCGCTGCTGAGGCTCACGCCTGTCATACACAACAAAGGGTAAAGGACAGTAGCTTTCTTTGTAGAAGTGCTGAGGGTAATTATGAACTACAGGGAGCCAGCCTACTAGACAGAAAAGTCTGTTAAACTTATCTCCAGTTAACCAACAAAAAGCCAGAAGTGGAGTATGGCTGTAGTGGTAGAGTATCAGCTTTAAGCAAAAAAGCTAATGATTGGTTAATTGGTGGCCACGCCCTGCTGGAGGCTCTTCTACTGGATCCCTTCTACCTCGGAACCCCGAATCAGCAAATTCCCTTCTGATCAGACCCCTCCCACCTCAGAGCTCAGTATTTCTTAATGTACCTGGAATAATGTCTCTGATATGGTGAACAAGCTCCAAATAAGCTTCTCTTGAATATCTGAAACAAAGAACAGAATGAAAAAACTTAAGACATACCAATCTTCAGACAAATGTTATAAAGACACCACACATGTAATCACTTCTCTTCCACCCAGCACAGCATAGGAACATGTTAAAGTAGTTAAAGAGCCCTTCCAGCCAGTTACTATCTAATCCAGAGCATTACTTTGAGTAGTTGCCTTATTATTTTCTAAACTAAGACAAATTAAACATTTTTTAAATGGCTCTCTAAAACTCTGCCACTTTAGAAAACAGGACCAAGTAGTAGTGCTATAATATCTACCTTGGGTCCTATCACTCCTTCTTTCCTCGGCAAATATTTACAGTCCTCAAAGTAAAGAAATCCACTACATACTCAAGAGCTGAGAGATTTTACTATTCTTCAAAGTTCAAGGATTAAAATTTCAGAGTATGCCACAGAGTGGCATGAAAGTGGCCCATCCTTCCTGTTTACGAGCAAGTTAGAATGCCATACGTTTAATCACATGATAAACATTTACTGAGCACAGACCATGTACTATATGTATTATGTTATATTCTCTATTTTTTTTTTGCTAGTACTGAGACTTGAACTCAGGCCCTGAGTGATGTCCCTTAGCTTTTTCACTCAAGACTGGTGCTCTACCATGTGAGCCATAGCTCCACTTCTGGCTTTCTGATGGTTAATGGAGCCTTTTCTAAGTCTCATAGACTTTCCTTCCCTGGCTTGCTTTGAACCTCAATTCTCAGATCTCAGCTTCCTGAGTATCTAGGATTATAGGCATGAGCCACAAGTACCCAGCTCTATGCTAGGTTCTTAGCTACATAGACACTGTTTGGCCATTAAAAATATATGAAAAGATGTGAACTGTCTCTTCCTCAAATAAATCTCACCCTCTCCTCATGGCGGCCAGCACACGGCTGCTTCCACTCTGGGCTGGTAGGTGAATCTGCTTACAAATATTGTCTCTCTCACGGATCAGCTGCAGAACCTGATTAAACACAACATACTCCTAGTCAACCAGTTCTCACCACAGCATCCTGCAGAAAGAAATATCATAATTATTTCTGTCCCCATCCCCAACGAGGTCAGTCTTCAAGTAATTATAAGGAGAGTCCAATCAAATTGATTACATGGTGTACAGGTGTACTCTCAACATGTGAGAGATGGAGGCAGAAGTGGATCAAAAGTGCAACACCAGACTGGGCTATAAACCAAGAGTCTGTCTTTAAAAGATACAGAAAGAGAAGGGAAGAAGGAACAGGAGAAGGAAAGAAGTAGAGAGTCGACAAATGGTAGAGCACTTGCCTTGAGCTGAAGAGCTGAGGGACAGCACCCAGGCCCAGAGTTCAAGGGTCCCCCCCAAAAAAAAAAAACTACAGCCAAAAGGGGCTGGGAAGGTGGCTCAGTGGTAGAGCACTTGCCTTGCATGCATGAAGCCCTGGGTTCGATTCCTCAGCACCACATAAGCAGAAAAAATAAAAAAGCCGGAAGTGGCGCTGTGGCTCAAGTGGTAGAGCACTAGCCTTGAGCTGAAGAGTTGAGGGACAGCGTCCAGGCCCAGAGTTCAGGTCCCATGACCGGACCCCCTCCTCCCCCCCAAAAAGAAATTATGAGTGAAAAACTACAGCCAAGTGTCAATAGCCCATACCTATAATCCTAACTACTCAGGGAGCTGAGATCTGAGGATCATAGTTCCATGTCAACCTAGTGAGACTGTTATCTTCAATTAACCACCAAAAAACTGGAAGTGGTGCTGTGGCCCAATATGGTAGAGCACTAGCCTTGAGCAAAAGAGCTCACTGACAGCACCCAGGCTCCAAGTTCAAGCCCCACAACCACCACCACCACCAACAACAACAAAAACCAACAAGAAAGAACTTGAAAGTATGTTGACAAATAATTTGTATCAAGAATACATAAAAGGGGGCTGGGAAGGTGGCTCAGTGGTAGAGCACTTACCCTGCAGGCATGAGGCCCTGGGTTCCATTCCTCAGTACCACATAAGCAGAAAAAAAAAAACCGGAAGTGGCGCTGTGGCTCAAGTGGTAGAGCACTAGCCTTGAGCTGAAGAGCTGAGGGACAGTACCCAGGCCCAGAGTTCAGGCCCACGACCGGACCCAAAAAAAAAAAAAGAATACATAAAAAGAAGCAGGGCACCAGTGGCTCACACCTGTAATCCTAGCTACTTAAGAGGCTGAGATCTGAAGATCACAGTTCAGAGCCAGTCCGGGCAGGGGTATGTGAGACTCTTCTCTCCAATTAACCACCAAAAAGACAGAAGTGAAGCTATGGCTCAAAGAGGTAGAGAGCCAGCTTTGGGCACAAAAGCTCAGAAACAGCACCCAGGCCCTGAGTCCAAGCCCCAAGACTAGAAAAAAAAGAAAGAAAGAAAAGAAAAGAAAGAAAGAAAGAAAGAAAGAAAGAATTAGTGCACTGGTGGCTCACAGCCTGTAATCCTAACTACTCAGAAGGCTGAGAGCTGAGGATCGCAGTTCAAAACCAGGTCAAGAAAATCAGTGAGACTTTTATCTCCAATAAACTACTCAGAAAATGCAGGAAGTATCTATGTGGCTCCTGTGATAGAGCACTAGCCTTGAGTCAAAGAAGCTCAGGGATAGTACCCAGGCCTAGAATTCAAGCTGCAGGACCTGCACACAAAAACAACATAAATAGCTTTTACAACTCAACAAGCAGACAAGTAATGCAGGAAAGAAAAGGTGTGGTAGGGCCAAAAAAATAGGCATTTCACCAAAACAAAAACCTTATCCAGTCCAGGCACCAGTGGCTGACAACTATAATCCCAGCCACTCAGGAGGCTGAGATCTGAGATCAAGGTTCAAAGCCAGCCAGGGCAGGAGAGTCCATGAGACTCTTTTCTCCAATAAACTACTCAGAAAAAGCCAGAAATGGTGCTGTAGCTGAAGCAGAAGAGCACTAGTCTTGAGCAAAAGAAGCTCAGGGACATTACCCAGGCCCAGAGTTTAAGCCCCAGGACCCACAAAAAAATAAAAATAAAAATAAAATCCAAAAACATGTTTAAATGTGGCTACCTATTCAATGCTTGCTAAGTCTGACATATTGATTTTACCACAATCCAAATAGAAGACAATTTTTTTTTCCTTTTGGTAGTACTGGGGTTTGAACTCAAGGCCTGTGTTTGAACTATACTCCCAGACCTTTTTGTTTTAAGATATTTTTCAGATAGAGTCTTGTGGGGGCTTTTTCCCCTACAAGACTAGATTCAGACCACCATCCTCCAACATATGCCTCCCACATAGCTAGAATATGCACCACCCTATCCAGCTTGTTGATTAAGACAAGGTCTCACTAGCTTTTTTCCAGGGCTCAAACTTTCATCCTCCCAAGTAGGTGGACTCCAGGCACCTGTCACCACACCTAGTCCTCAGAAGGTAACTGTTAGTCAAGCTCTACACATGAAGATGGCAAGTTGAAAAGCATTTCTATACCTCTTCTACTAACATGGTTCCTTCTCTTTTTTTTTTTTTTTGTTGGTCATGGGGCCTGAACTCTGGGCCTGGACACTGTCTTCAGTTCAAGGCTAGCACCCTACCATTAGAGCCACAGTGCCATTTCCGGCTTTTTCTGCTTATGTGGTGTTGAGGAATAGAACCCAGGGCCTCATGCATACAAGGCAAGCACTCTACCACTGAGCCACCTTCCTAGCCTCCCCTCCTCACCTTTTTTTAAGATGTTTAGGTCTTAGACTGGGACTCAAACTCAGTACCTGCCGCTTTTGCTCATTGGTTAGTTCTCTACCAACTAAGCCATGCCTTAAACCCCTAGGATGTTTTTTATTAGCAGGTGTTAGTTGTACAAGGTGGGGATTTCATTGTGACATTTCCATGTATATATTCAATGTACCCTGACCAAACTCACCCTCTCCATCTCTTTCCCTTCCCCCAACTTCTCTTTCTCTCTCTTTCTTTGAGAGAGCATATCACTATTTCACCCAAGCTAGCCTGGAATTTACAATCCTCTTGCGCAGCCCTCCCCGCTCCAAGTGCTAGAATTACAAACATGCACCACCATATCTGGCAAGACCAGGGATTTGAAACAGGTCTGTTTGAGATTAAAGTCTTGTCTCCTTGCTTTCCCTTAAATACTGCTACCCTCGCTATCACACAGCTGCCCATGCTGCAGTGAAACACAGCCCTCATCTCCCACGGATCTCAGTATTAGTCTTATCTGCACTTCAACCTTGGTACACGTTACATCTTTCTGAAGGGCCATTAGTTCCACAGGATCCTCCAAGCAAGGTACCAGGTCTGCTGCATCTGCTGGGTCCAGCCTAAGGCACCCCCTCAGCACATCTAATACCAGCTTGTCATGTGGCTATTGAGGACACTCACCTCATCAGGAAAATCCTTGGGGTGGGGAGAAGTGAAACGTATCCGCATTTCAGGATCTATTCTGGAAACCTGATCCAGAAGGTGAGAGAAACGAAGCCCTCCTTGTTTGCTTTTGGAGTTGGCAGAGAAGCCACGACTGAGGTTAGTAGATGCTGCACTGTTGAACTGAACCTCTGAATTGTCCCGAAAACTATTAACATTCTGACCAAGAAGTGTGACTTCTTTCAGCCCCTAAGAAAGGCAGAATATGTGGGAAGCAAGTTAAAAACATGTTGAGTAGCTTTATGCCAAATTACTCATTGAAAATTAGTTGAACCTGCCTGGGAATGTGGCTCAGTGATAGAGTACTTGCCTAGCATGCATGAAGCCCTGGGATCGAATCCTCAGTACCACATAAACAGAAAAGGCCGGAAGTGGTGCTGTGGTTCAAATGGTAGATAGCTAGCCTTGAGCAAAAGAAACTCAGGGACAGTGCCTAGGCCCTGAGTTTAAGCCCCAGAACTGGCCAAAAAAAAAAACAAAAAAAATCTATAAATGTGTTCTATTTTAACACAATAAAAAATTTCAGGGGCTGGGAAGGTGGCTCAGTGGTAGAGTGCTTGTCTTGCATGCATGAGGCCCTGGGTTTGATTCCTCAGCACCACATAAGCAGAAAAAGCCAGAAGTGGTGCTGTAGCTCAAGTGGTAAAGCGCTAGCCTTGAGCTGAAGAACTGAGGGACAGTGCTCAGGCCCAGAGTTCAGGCCCCACGACTGGCAAAAAAAAAAAAATTCATGCTTAGGCATCTTATCGAAGTATTAAAAAATACTAAGAATAAAAATTAAGAGGTCTGGGTGCTGGTGGCTTACACGTATAATCCTAGCTACTCAGGAAGATAAGATCAAGGTTCAAAACCAACCTAGACAGACAAGTATGTGAGACTTTTATCTCCAATTAACCACTAAAAAGCTGGCTCAAGTGGTAGAGTATTAGACTTGCCAAAAAAAAAAGCCCAGGGACAGTGTCTAGCCCTGAGTTCAAGCTCCAGGACAGGCACAGAGAGAGAAAGAAAAAGAGAGAGAGGGAGATTGTTAATAATAAAGTAAAAGTCCTCAAAATATTCAGAATGTGAAAATAAAAGAAACTGGGGGTGCAGGGGCTGGAGGAGGCATGTCTCAGGTGGTAGAGTGCTAGCCAATGAGTAAAATTGTCAGGTACTGAGTTCAAGTCCTGGTCTCAGACAAAAAACAAAACAAAACTGGGAATAAGCTCAATCAACGCATAATAATAATGATCTATTTCTGTAGAGCAGGAAGATATGTTAAAGGTAGGAGATTCTGTTCTGTAGAACAGTCTGTATTTTTCTTTAGAATGTAGTCTAAACTACTGTACATTTACACTCTAGTCTAAATATATGATAGAAATAGATGAGATAGGGCTGGGAAGGTGGCTCAGTGGTAGAGCGCTTGTCTTGCATGCATGAGGCCCTGGGTTCGATTCCTCAGCACCACATAAGAAAAAAAGAAAAAAAGCTGGAAGTGGCGCTATGGCTCAAGTGGTAGAGTGCTAGCCTTGAGCTGAAGAGGTAAGGGACAGTGCCCAGGCCCAGAGTTCAGGCCCCACGACCGGACCCAAAATAAATAAAGTAGTTACATTACTACTAGCAAAATCAAGGACTACCAAATATTTTAACACACAAGCAGAATCTTAACTTCCCACAGGTCTCAACTTGAGACTGGACTTTACCAAGTTTTGATTTAGTGTGAAGTTCCTCCTTCATATGTAAATAATCCACACTGGTTAAGGAGTTTTTGTCACCATCTCAATCTATTTAAACAAAATGTCTCCCCTGAAGAAGTGAGCTCTGTATGGTGGGAAGCTGAAGAAGGGGCAACTTTAAGAAGGGAAGCATGGGCCGGGCGCTGGTGGCTCACGCCTGTAATCCTAGCTACTCAGGAGGCTGAGATCTGAGGATCGCGGTTCAAAGCCAGCCTGGGCAGGAGAGACCATGAGACTCCTATCTCCAATAAACCACCAGAAAACCGGAAGTGGCGCTGTAGCTCAAGTGGTAGAGCACTCGCCTTGAGCTGAAGAGCTGAGGGACAGCGCCCAGGCCCAGAGTTCAAGCCCCACGACCGACAAAAAAAAAAAAAGAAGGGAAGCATGGGACAAGTGAACTCAGGACAAGCCTCACAGGAAGGTGAGAAGCTAGGATCCAAATCAGGGCAGAATCATGTCAGGAGATGAACACAGGGCAAGAGAAGAGAGTATTGCTGACATGTGAGCACAGGGAACCCCTGGCTTGCAATGGCAGGGGCAGACATCCGAACCCACATAGCTCCTGAGCTAAACAAGGAAGGAAACATGGAGAGCTCATTGGGACAGAAGTGTCATTTTCCACCTACAGTCCTCAGCTACAGGTCCAGAAGGTTCAGGCCTGGGGCTAGGGACAGACCTGCCCAAAGGCTGAGGGACTAGCCCCTCAGAAGGCATTACTTTATTTCCTTTTCATTGATGGGAAACAGCAGTCCAAAGAAGATAGTTAGGCTGGGTGTGGCTGGGTGTGGGCCTGGAACAGCACCCAGGCCCTCAGTTCAAGCACCAGTACTATAGTACAAAACAACAATAACAAAAAAAAAAAAAAACCCACAAAAAAACCTAGGTGGGTCCTAGTGGTTCATGCCTATAACTCTAGCTACTCAAGAGGCTAAGATCTGAAGATCCAGGTTCAAAGCCAGACCAGGCAGGAAAATCCATGAGATTCTTAATCTCCAATTAACTACGAGAAAACCAGAAGTGGTACTGTGGTTCGAAGTGGTAGAGTTCTAGGCTTGAGCAAAAAGAGCTCAGGACAACACCTGGTCCCTGAGTTCAAGCCCCACAACTGAATTTACTAAAAATAAATAAAAATAAAAAGCACATACCAAGAAAATAATTAAATGCCTTCTGCCTAGGCACCAAGCCAAAGAACAGTAGAGCCAGAATTTATACTCAGGCCACCAGATTCAGACCACTGCACTCTACTGCATCCTAAGCAAACATCACAATGCATCAGCAAGCCCCAAATGGCCAGCTGGGTATTTCTTTCTGGCCAGACACTGTCCTACAAACTGTACTACTTAGAGAAAGCACAGGCTGCAAAACCAGAAAAGTTGCCTCAACCTCCCCAAACAGGTTCACAGGAAGAGAGCCTGGAGAACTCACCTGGTCAGAGAGCTTCCTCACTTCCTCCAGAATGGAGGCAACAGGCCGACTCCTCTCACGGCCCCGGGTGAAAGGAACGATGCAGTAGCTGCACATGTTGTCACAACCCCTCATGATGGACCTGGATGAGAGTACCAGAACTTAAGTAACAGCAGAGCTCTTGGCATGTGCCCCAAGGAGCTGGTCAAGCTCTATTGGGATTTTTCTCTATGAATTTTTTTTGTCTCTACACTCACCTTGGACCAATCTGAACTCTACAAAGCATTAAGGCAGACAGTTTTTATCTTTAAAGACTACTATCTAGTCACAGAATATAGAGCAAACTATAACTGATGGACACACTGATGGTGAGGGGACACAGAACAGACTTACCACAGGTGGACTTTCTACTGTTTGGGGGTTGTTTGTGCTGGTACTCAGACTTAAACTCAGGGCTTGAGTGCTGCCCCTGAACTTTTTCAAAAGACTAGTACTCTACTACATCTCCACTTGCTGTTAACTCATGATAAGTGTCTCATGGACTTTCCTGTTTGAATCCTCAGATCTCAATCTCCTGAGTAACTATGAACCACAGGTGTCCAGACTTCCTACCATTTTTAGAGATCTAATAATTCAACTTTTCATACCCAGGTAACAAAAATCAATGTTATAGTAATACAGGGATCTGCATTTGTCCTGCACTCCAGATCTAACAGCTAAGTTCAATCACTCTTTCACCTATATTCTGTCTATGCAAGCCTCAGTTTATCTTAAAGAATTTTCCAGGTATACTGTAAAATGTTCACTGAAGAATTATTTAATAAATGTTATTATTTTTACTCTAATAATAGAATGAGACAGTCATTAAAATGAACAGAGGTTAGCCAACTTTTTTTTTTTTTGGTTGGTTGTGGGGCCTGAACTCTGGGCCTGGGTGCTGTCCTTTAGCTCTTCAGCTCAAGGCAAGCACTCTACCACTTGAGCCACAGTGCCACTTCTGGCTTTTAATGCTTATGTGGTGCTGAGGAATTGAACCCAGGGCCTCATGCATGCAAGGCAAGCACTGAGCCACCTTCCCAGTCCCATAGTTTTTTATTATTTAAAAAAAAAAAAAAAGTTCCACAGACTTTCCTGCCTGGGCTGGCTTCAAACCACTATCCTCAGATCTCAGCCTCCTGAATAGCTAGGATTACAGGCATGAACCACCAATACCCCACTTGTTATTTGTGTTTTTTAAAGATCAGAAGGGAGGAAAAAAAGATTTTGCTTATATTTTATTTTCAGACAAGGTTTCACTATGTGGCCAAGGCTGGCCTAAAATTCATGATCCTCTAGCCTTAGCCTCCCAAACAAATGCTGACATTACAGGCATGTACCACCATACTCAGCTGAAAAAGAAGTATTTTTTTTTTTTTTTGTCCATCCTGGGGCCAGAACTCTGAGCCTGTGTGCTGTCCCTCGGCTCTTCAGCTCAAGGCTAGCACTCTACCACTTGAGTCACACTGCCAGTTTTTTCTGCTTATGTGGTGCTGAGGAATCGAACCCAGGGCCTCATGCATGCAAGGCACGCACTCTACCACTGAGCCACCTTCCCAGCCCCAAGAAATCATTTTTAAGTCAGGAAAGTCTGGGATATTTTCGGAAGTGAAGAATAAAGCAATATACTATTATGGTAAAAGAAGGGCAGAAAAAGATTCCTATCCTGTGACTGTTTATCAAGGAACAGTTTTGAAAGGATTATATAGGAAATGACTGACATGGCTGCCTTTGAGAAGAGTCATAGGAGATCGGGCTGATGGGCATGAAGGAGTCTTACTGTCATGTGCATGCAGCACTTTCTTTCTCTCTCTTTTTTTTTTTTTTCTTGGCTAGTCTGGGGCTTGAACTCAGGGCCTGAGCACTGTCCCTGAGCTTCTTTTGCTCAAGGCTAGCACTCTACTACTTGAGCCACAGCACCACTTCTGGTTTTTTCTGTTTATGTGGTAAGTTCCGACTAAGGAATCCAACCCAGGGCTTCATACCTGCTGGACAAGCACTCTACCACTAAGCTACATTCCCAGCCACACTTTTCTTTTTTTAATGTAACAAAGTTAACTTATTGGTTTAACAGTGAGAAGGAAAAGAGAAGTTCAGTGCTAGAGTCCTGGGCAGTGACTCACACGAAGGCAGAAGTGACACTGGGGCTTGTCTGCACCGGCATGACATCTGCATAGGTCTCATCCAAGGAGAGCAGCACATTGGCAGCTTGCTGGCCTGACTCAGCAACAGCCAGCAGCCGAGGAAGGTCCCGATAGGCATCTGGACCAGCCAAGAGATCCACTATTTTCTCCCTGTTGAGGATCTCTTCCTTCAGCCTCTCAGCCATGCAACCTGGGAAGAAGAGAAATTCTAAAATTTATCTGCTCTCTTGGCTTCTCTCAGTCCATCTTGGATTATAGACCAGGGTACTGAAAGCTTTTCTTCAGAGTTTAGTACCCGCCTTCAAATTTGACCCCTAACATTATAACTTCCTATATTAAAAAAAAAGAAAAAGAAAAACTCTCCAGAAAAAGTTTACAGCAATCAAATAGATAGGAGGAGAAAACAGCACTCAAAAGTCTTCTTTTAAAAACATAGCTGGGGGGCTGGGAATCTGGCTTAGTGGTAGAGTGCTTGCCTTATATGCATGAAGCCCTAGGTTCAATTCCTCAGTACCACATAAACAGAAAAAGCTGGAAGTGATGCTGTGACTCAAATGGCAGAGTGCTAGCCTTGAGCAAAATAAGTTCAGGGACAGTGCCCAGGCCCTGAGTTTAAGCCAAGACTGGCAGAAAAAAATAAAAAAATAAAAATAAAAATAGCTAGGAATCGAAGCCAGGGGCTCCTTCATGCTAACACTGAGCTCTATCCCCAACAACCTCCAAAGTCTCTCAAGTGAGGTGCTAGGGACTCGCCTGTAATCCTAGCTACTCAAGAAGCAGAGATCACAGGATCCAATTCTAAGGCAGCCTAGGCAGAATAATCTACAAAACTCCATCTCCAATTAACTAGCAAAAGAGCACCAGCTATGAATATGAAAGCCAAATAAAAGCTGGGCACTACCAGGCACTGGTGGCTCACATCTGTAATCCTACTCAGAGGCTGAGAGCTAAGGATTGCAGTTTGAAGCCAGCCTACGAAGGAAAGTCATGAGACTATATCTCCACCCAAAAACTTCAAGTAGAATGGAGGTTCAAAGTGGTAGAGTGCTAGCCTCGAGCACTAGCTACTAAGGAGGCTGATATCTGAGGATCAAGTTCAAAGCTAGCCCAGGAAGGAAAGTCTGTGACACTTTTTTTGACCAGTCATGGGGCTTGAACTCAGGGCCTGGGCACTGTCCCTGAGCTCTTTCACTCAAGGCTAGCACTCTACCACTTTCAGCCACAGAACCACTTCTCGCTTTTTCTGTACGTGTGGTACTGAGGAATTGAACCCAGGCCTTTATGTGTCATCCTAGAGTAAAATGCTAAGAGACAGACCCAAGCCTTGAGTTCAAGCACCAGTACCAACACCAAAAAATTAATTAAATAATTTTTTTTAAGTTGCTTACACTGTCAACTATGCTGCCCCCTGTCTATTATTCCACACTACCATGACTAGCATGAAACCACAGGGAGAATAAACCACTTTCTGAACATTGATGACTTCCATATACTGTGAAAAGCCCTTTCAATGAATATTGCAGCCACTCATATTAAGGATTTACAAGGCGTAGATAAGGTTTCTTCCCACCCTGGAATCTTAGCCTCTGAAGGAAACTCTACTATATAAAGCCCCTCATCTCAAAACAGACAAACTCTGCAAATTACCAGATACCTAGAATTCCAACCTTCAGAGGCACCCGGGAGCGGGGCCGCTTTGTCTTCAGGGCTTTAAGCTGGTGTAAACGGTTCCAGATGGTCTGCTCAGCCTTCTCCCTGCGGAGAGCAAAAGAGGCAAAAGTGAGCCAAAAATGACAGAGCAGTCAAGCAGTGTAGGACAGTGGGAAGAAAGTAAAAACCACTTGGACCCTGAAAATGACCTTTTGGATTCAAGGCTAAATGAAGAACATCACTTGCTTTAATTCACTTCCCCTCCAATGACATCTGCCTGAACATCTCCAAATCCTGACAAGCTTCAAACCTACATCAAAAACAATCTACATAGCAAAGCCTTTCCTAACTCTGCTATGAGGGACTTTCCTCCTTTAACTGCCTACAATTTTGACTTCAGTTTTCCTGTATTTGGAGTTTTTTCTAATTAATTTGTTTGTTTGTTTGTTTTTACTTAATACTTTCTGACCGTTTTAAAGCTGTTTATAGTCCGTGTTACTCCCCATGGTAGATCAAACTCTGAAGCTAGGCTCCCTAAGGAAGGGTTCTTTCCTTCCTTCCTTCCTTTTCTTTCTTTCCCCACCCCTCTTTTTTTGTGCTGGTCCTGGTGCTTGAACTCAGGGCCTAGCTGTCCCTAAGCTTCTTTGGCTCAAAGCCAGCATTCTACCACTTGAACCACAGCACCACTTCCAGCTTATTCTGAGTAGTTTATTGGAAATAAGAGTTTCAGGAGCTGGGAAGGTGGCTTAGTGGTAGAGTGCTTGCCTTGCATGCATGAGGCCCTGGGTTCGATTCCTCAGCACCACATAAGCAGAAAAAGCTGGAAGTGATGCTGTGGCTCAAGTTGTAGAGCACTAGCCTTGAGCTGAAGAGCTGAGGGACAGTGCTCAGGCTCAGAGTTCAGGCACCATGACTGGCAAAAAAAAAAAAGAGTTTCACAGACTTTTCTGCCCCAGCTTGCTTTGATTGCAAACCTCAGATCTCAGCCTCCTGAATAGCTAGGATTACAGGCATGAGCCAGCAGCATCTGACCAAAGGGTTCTTTTCTAAATCTCCCAAAACCCCAGCTAAATGTCATCAGGCAGCAAAGTCCCACAGAACAAAAATGCTGGATTAATGAACAAGTTAGTGCAGCCAGCTAGGGAAACACTAATGCCTTGGACACAGAAACAAACTAATAAAGAGGACATGCTGAAGGGCTTCCTATGGCTAAATGCTTCCAAACCACCTCTGATGGATGGCACCCACCTGTTTAGAACACCCTCCCCAGCCACTGACTGCCCTCACCCAGTATTATAAACATGTGCTGTTAGTAGCAAGAAAAACCTCGGGAAAAGTTGGGCAACTCAGCACTCTTTTGGTTCAAAGAACCTATATGTAAAATGAGTTTGATTAGTGCCCCTCACTGTGACTGAGTTAGATTCATTATTGCAAGCATAGTGCTCTAGCGGCATCCCACACACAGTCCATGTCAGCAGATGTCAGCCAGCTGTGCCAAGACCATGTCCAATGAGGGAAAACCACAAGTCTCAGTGAATGGACCATTTGCTCATATGCTAGGCAAGTCATCTGGGCATTGTTAGCTGTGACACAGTTATATACCCTACAGCCACTCCCTAGAGAAAGAGCAGATCCATACCTGATAGAACACGTGACAAGAAGGACCACATCAGCCTGAATGAAGAGCAAGGAAAACAGGAAAATTCTTATTATCTTTGCAATTAGCCTTGTGGAATCACTACCTTGCAATCCCCAGCTTTTTAAAAAAAATTATTGTGGCAGCCAGGCGCCAGTGGCTCATGCCTGTAATCCTAGCTACTGAGATCTGAGGATCTCAGGTTCAAAGACAGCCCCGGCATGAAAGTCCGTGAAACTCTTATCTCCAATAAACCACCAGAAAACCAGAAGTGGTGCTGTAGCTCAAGTGGTAGAGCATTAGCCTTGAGCTGAAGAGCTGAGGGACAGCGCTCTGGACCAGAGTTCAAGGCCCACAACCAACAAAAAAAAAAATTATTGTGGCAAATTATATATAACAAAATTTATCACTTTAGTAATATTAGACGGTCATGAAACCACCCTCTCCCTCCAGAACTATTTCATATTCCCCAACTAAACTCCAAACCCACTGTATACTAACTCACCACTACTCATCTCCCCTCCCACAGCCATTTTTTTACAAAGAGCCTCTATGTAGCCCAGGATAGCCTCAAAGGCATGTGCTACCACACCCAGCCCCGTGGGCAGTTTTTAACTTTGTTCTTTGCATAATGGTAAATGTCACCACAAAGTTTTCAAGCGCAGTAAAACAAAAATATATCACAATGCCAGGCGCTGGTGGCTCACACCTGTAATCCTAGCTACTCAGGAGGCTGAGATCTGAGAATAGCAGTTCAAAGCCAGCCTATGCACAAAAGTTCATGAGATTCTTATCTCCAATAAACCACTCAGACAACTGGAATTTGTACTGTGGCTCAAGAGGTAGAGCGCTCACCTTGAGCTGAAGAGCTGAAGGACAATGGCCAAGCCCAGAGTTCAAGCCCCATGACCAACAAAAATAAATAAATAAAATCTAATAGTACATGTCAGTCAATAAAACACCTCAGCAGAGGGAGAACCCTCATTCCTGACACTGCATCTAAGGATCTGTATGAACACCCAGAAATCCCATGTACCTCTTGAAGGTTGCTGGTCCGAAGGTAGCCACTCTTCTGTAAAATGGACCAGGCTATCTCTGTGTCATTTACATTCATCTGGCAGCCATAGGTCTCTAGGTAGACTGCAAAGAGAGACAGATTCCACGGTAGGCAGACAAGGGCACCATAAAACATCTTCCTAAAGCCTCAGAAATACCTAAAGTAACAGGTTATCCATAAAGTAACTCCCTGTTGCCTCCGTTCTAACATCTAATGTAACGGTTGTTCCTGAGCTTCTTTTGCTCAAGGCTAGTGCTCTACCACTTGAGCCAAGTCCACTTACAGCTTTTTTTTTTTTTTTTTGGTAAGTTGTGGGACTTGAACTCTAGACCTGGGTGCTGTCCCTGAGCTCAGCTCAAGGCGAGCCCTCTATCACTTGAGCTACAGTGCCACTTCCGGTTTTCTGGTGGTTCATCGGAGGTAAGAGACTCATGGACTTCCTGCCCAGGCTGGCTTTGAACTGCAATCTTGAGATCTCAGCCTCCTGAGGAGCTAGGATTACAGGTGTGTGCCACTGGCACCCAGCTTTTACACTTTTTTGTACTTCATTGGAAATAAGAGCCTCATGGACTTTCTTGCCCAAGGCTAGCTTTGAACTGCAATCCTCCAATCCTCAGACCTCAGCCTCCAGAGTAGCTAGGATTACAGGCATGAGGCACTGGTACCTAGTTGAGTTTTGTTGTTTTTTTCCTCCCTTTAAAAAAAATTTATTGAGGGCTGGGAAGGTGGCTCAGTGGTAGAGCACTTGCCTTGCATGCATGAGGCCCTGGGTTCGATTCCTCATCACCACATAAGCAAAAAGAAAAAAGCCGGAAGTGGCGCTGTGGCTCAAGTGGTAGAGTGCTAGCCTTGAGCTGAAGGACAGCGTCCAGGCCCAGAGTTCAGGCCCCACAACCGGACCCCCCCCCCAAAAAAAAAAAAATTTATTGAAATATTATTTATGTAAAATGGTTTTGCTGTGCTTTCCCTATACACATATAACAACTTTGATCATATTCACCCCTCCTAGGAATTTCTTTATATTGATGGTCTTGGCTCCATAACTAAGTAAGCTGCCCACACTGTCAGCCTACAAAGCCAATTAAAGAATCAGGCCATAGATGCTGGAAAGAGCAAGACAGGGGCTAGGAAGGTGGCTCAGTGGTAGAGTGCTTGCCTTGCATGCATGAGGCCTTGGGTTCAATTCCTCAGCACCACATAAGCAGAAAAAGACGGAAGTGGCGCTGTGGCTCAAGTGGTAGAGTGCTATCCTTAAACTGAAGAGCTGAGGGACAGTGCCTAGGCCCAGAGTTCAGGCCCCACAACCTGAAAAAAAAAAAAAGAAGAAGAAGCAGCAGCAGCAGCAGCAAGACAGGAGCAAAAGGGACAAAGGTACCAAGGCATACCTTTCCTCTGCCTTCCTAGAAGTTCTTCCACTGTGAGATAGGGAGGTGGGTCCTCCAACTCAGGTAGAGATGGCTTCTCTTGAGGGGCTGAAGTGTTTCTTAAAAAATGCTGAAATGTTGGTCCAGTGGCCAGCCTAGAGCTGAAATCCTTTTGCTCTCCATTTTTCTGCCTCTCTGGACCAGGGCATGCAGCGCTGGGGTAATTGCTGTGTGCCCTGCAGGTTCTGAGCAGCAGCCAGGACACAGAGGCCAAGGGCCCCCACCTTACAGTCCTCTGCACTTGCAGGACACATTGTACAGGATACATGGCACCTCACAGCCCAAAGTCTGCAAAAGAATGAGCAACATCACCAATATTACTAAGCACTATGCACAGGTACTGCTCTGAGCACTTCCAGTATACTAATTCATTTATCACTCACATACACATACACACACACACACACACACACACACACACACACACACACACAATCATGAAAAAAAAGGTACTCCTAACAATACCATCTCAATGCCAGACACAGTAGCTTATACCTATAATCCTAGCACTCAGGAGGCTGAAGTAGAAGGATGGCAAATTTCAGACTACCTTGAGTTACGAAGTAAGCTAATATATGAGGATTACAATTCAAAGCCAGACCATGCTTGGCTCATCACATATTCTTTTTCTTTTCTTTTTTCCCCCCTGGTGACACTGGCATTTGAACTCAGGACTTTACACTTGCTAGGCAGGTTCTACCACTTAAGCCCAGCCCTTACCATGTATTCCTAGTGGACCTTAAGCTAGCCTGACTGTCTCTCGCTAGCCATACCAGGTATTTTTGGCTTCATCGCCACTACCTTCTAGGCTTTTCCACATGTTCTCTCTGCTGGTATATTTCCTCTTAACTGAGCTAGCCAAATTCTATGCCAACAGCAGCTGTCTGCTCCCTCCTGAGGCCTGCCACAGCCACCAACCCTAATCTAGGCTGAGGCCCTCCTCTGAGTTCCCAACGTTTTTTCCTGATTCTCCATCATAAAGGTCACTCACACCACACCTCTGTCAACTATTACTTACACCTCTGCCATCCCTTGCAGCTGAAAGGTGCCTGAAAGCAAGGAATGCATCTCATTCTATACCCACAGCAGCTCCCACTTCTGGAAGCTCTAAGCAATTCTAGAAACTGGCTCCCATCAGGTACTACCCATATAATGAGCAGAAGTAGCCTGTTTCCAACCTCATCACCTTCTGTCTCTGCCACCAACACTTTAGTCCGGAGCAATGCCAACCAAATTTCAAATGTCAGAAAAGAGCATATTTTTTGTATGGACTTTAAAATCACCCATTTCTGTCCCTTAATCACTAAGACCTTTGGCAAGTCAAATAAATGCCTAACTCTAGGTTGCCAATTCTGCATCTTTAAAAATGATAAGAAGTAGTATCCCACCCCCCCAACCCTCCCACCCTCCCCACCCCCCCCACCCCCCCACCCCCACCCCCACATGGAGCCTGTGGCATACACCTTGTAATCCTAGCAACTCAGGAGGCTGAGATCCACAGGATTGCAGCTCAAAGCCAAACTGCTAAAGGCTTTGAGGTTTTATCTCCAATTATCCAGCAAAATTCCAGGCTGGAGATGTGGTTCAAGTGGCACAGTGCTAGCTGAACGAGCAAGCAAGCAAATCTAGTGGGAAGAGCTGAGTTCAAACCCTGGTGCTGGAGGCTGGAGGTGGGGGAGGCAGAACTCGACTTGCCACGAAGACTTGCTAACTGCAGCCCAGACCTCTTTTCCTGGGGGAAACTGGAACATCATGGTTAACAGCAAGCACCACAGAGTCAGAATGTGCACCACTGCGGCCCATCTAGATAACCGCGGACTTCTGTCATGCGTCTCAGAAGCCATGACTGTATATGTAAAAACTGGACCCAAGTCACATACCCTCCCCTTCAACACACACAGCCTCCGTCTGCTGTGAGTGACAGGTAAAATGCTTTGTGTTACACAAGGAAGGCCTCTCTGTGTCTCCAGTTAATTTTGACAGCCGCAATGAGGATGGACCAATCAACACAGCATCCTCAGCGCTTTCGTGGGTGACTGCCACTGGGCGGCACGGTATAAACAAGGCTTTTCCAACAACAGTCCGTTTCACCCTCTCAGCTCCCACCCCGGCCCCGCAGGCGGAGAAATGAGGGCGCGGTGGAAGCGGGGGTCACACGGGTCTGGGAGGCAGGGTCACCGTCGCGACCCGGAAAGCTTGGCTCCAGATCCCAGGGCACAGCCACAGTGACTTCTTCCTCTAGACCCGCGAGTTCTAGGGGAAGGCGCGAGGCGCGCGCAACTCCATCCCAGGCCAACTCCATCCCGAGAGCCGCTCACCTAACACAGACGACGGGTCTTCCGTCCCGCACCGGAAGTCCCGGCCAGCCCGCCGATCCCCTTCCGGCCGGCCGCCGCTGCGAGTCTATGCCCGCGACTTTCGTTCCGCTACGACTTCCGTCCGAGACGTCCCAGCGGAAGTGCTCTCGGTGTACACTCCGGCTGGACCCAGACTCCTGGAGGTTGTGGAAAGCTCGGTGATTGTGGTGAACTTGGGGGGGGGGGGGGGGCTAAAGAATAAGGGGCCTTTCAGGTCTCAGGGAACGACCAGGCGTCGCAGTCTAGGGTCCTATCAGTCCCGGGCCTCAATCGGAGGCTCCGCGCGACCTTCACGAACCTTTTACGAGTCATTTGTTCCAGCCCACATCTCTCAGGTCCGTTCTGCTGGTCCTGGGGCAGTGGGCCTGAACGGGATGCGTAGGAGCCTACGTGGGCAACTGCTCAAGGTCGCGTTGAGCAGTGCTGAACCTCTCCAGGAGAAGGGAGACTTCGCCGTGCCTGCCTAGCCAGTCTCTTTTCTGTGTGTGCCGGTCCTAGAGCTTGAACTCGGGGCCTCAGCGCTATCCCTGAGCTTTTGTGCTCAAGGCTGGTGCTCTACCACTTGAGCCACTGCTCCATTTCCAGCTTTTTGTTGGTTAGTTGGAGATAAGAGTCTCACGGACTTACCTGCCCAGGCTGCCTTAAATCTTTGATTTTCAACCGAGAACCGGTGACTCACGCCTGTAATCCTAGCTACTCAGGAGGCTGAGATCTGAGAATCGCAGTTCAAAGCCAGCTCAGGCAGGAAAGTCCGTGAGCCTCATCTCCAAGGAACCACCAGAAAACCGGAAGTGGCGCTGCGGCTCAAGTTGGTAGAGCGCTAGCCTTGAGCTGAAGAGCTCAGAACAGTGCCCAGACCCAGAGTTCAAGCCCCACGATCCACCAAAAAACAAAAACAAAAAACCTTTCGATTTTCAGATCTTAGCTTCCTGAGTAGCTACGATTACAAGTGTGAGAGACCAGCTCACAGCATCTGTCTGTCTCTCCCCTCTTCTCTCCTCTTTCCTCCACTGTCCCCTCTCTGCTGTTAGTTAGTATGTGCCTATGTTCCAGCCGAGACAAGAGGATGCTTAAGCCCAGGCGTTGAGGGGGTTAATAAGATGTCTCTAGGTGCTGTCCCTCTAGTCTGTTAGGAGCTCTGGTTATCTTTTCCTTATATAAATCTTGACTATTCTACTTCTTGTTTATCCGTGGATTCATTCTTCTAGTGAAACAATCTTTTCCAAGTGTTGTAATTTGTAGCCTCAGTGCCACCATTCCCAGTAGTTGATGGCATTTTTGTTACAAAACCTGAACAGAAATATTGATCTATATATAATCTATTGGTTCTGTTGCTCAAGAGAACCCTAACACACATACCTCTCCCAAGGGAGAGTCCAGAGGATTATGATTCAAACATAGCATGAGACTGTCTCCAAAATAACTAGGGGAAAAAATCAGGCTGGAAGCATGGCTCAAGTGGTAAGAGAACCAAACTGAGTGTGCTTGAGATCAAACTCCAGTACCACTCCCACCTCCCCTTGCCCCCCCCCCCCCAAAAAAAAACCTTCTATGGTTATTAACTCAAACTCATTTTCAGGTAGCTTCATGCTGGAACTCACAAAACCTGTATGTGACAGAACATGAATCAGATCCACCCACAGGTCAGCTTAACCTCAAATTCCTAGTCTTATCACTGAGCTACTCATTCAAGCTAGACTGTGTTCCTGCTGAGGCTCTGCTATTAACAACTGCTATTAACTGGGTAACTATGGCCAACTAGTCACTTCTGAGTCCTGGCGTCTTTGCTACAAAGTGGCTGCTATGTCATGAACACACTGTCTCAGGGGTGGTTGCAGTTAGACAAAGCTAGAGAGCACTGGGGTTGTGGTAGCTATCCAGAAAGTTAATAGAGGATTTCTGGACCAGTATGGCATCTCAGGCAACGAACATGATGTAAACAAACCCCTCAGATTCCAAGAATTTGGGAACCTGGTGTTCCATTTGACCTTGAGACCCTCTACCCAGATGCTTTTCTGGGGTGCACTGCCCTTTCCACCTGTCTCACTTCTACTGGTTGATAGAATTTTTCACTCCTCTTTTCTTCCCACTGAGTGGGACCTATTTCTTTCCCAAAATGTGTGGCTAAAGATGTGTGACTTACTTTTATTTACTTGGAGTGGCCTGCTGAGGGAAAATCATGTCCTGGGATCCAGTGTCCCTTCATCCTAGGCTTCAGGAAGAATGCGGAACAGATCTAAGCCCAACCCACACTCTGGAGCAAAACTGCCCAAACCAGACCACACTGGTCAACCTGCAGTCAATGTGCAGCCAGCCTCAAATCATGAAAATAAATGCCAGTTGTTGGAGTCCATGAGATAGGGCTGGATTTTTCCATAGCATTAGAACAAGAATAGCTGATAAGCATGTGATTCAGACAGACCTCTGCTTTCATTTCCTGAGAGAAATGTCCCCTTGCTCCCCAAACAGCTTAGGTCCCACTGCCTTCCTGGCTACCTCCTTGTGCCTGCCCAATCAGAATCACACATTTGACTGTGGGAGCTTCTGAGGAGTCTTTTGAGGCTCAGGACCCATTAGCCTTCCTCTCAGCTATATCACCTTCTGTCCCCAAGGACCAACACAGAGCAAGTAAACAGTGGACTAACAGAGGATAGGCTAGATGATCAAGGCTGGAATGTCTCTACTTATCTGCAACACCCACTATCTAGTTTCCAGAACCATCTCTGGCTCTGGCATGTGTAGTTTCCTCGTATGGTGGTTCAATTGCTTTGTGTGGGTGTGTGCTGGTATTAAGTCTTGAATTCAGGACCTGGAAACTGCCCCCCCCTTTTTTTTTACTCAAGGCTGGCACTCTACCACTTAAGCCACAACTCTACTTTTTATGTATCAAGAATACATAAAAAGAAGCAGGGGGGCTGGGAAGGTGGCTCAGTGGTAGAGTGCTTGCCTTGCATGCATGAAGCCCCAGGTTTGATTCCTCAGCACCACATAAACAGAAAAGGCCAGAAGTGGTGCTGTGACTTAAGTGGTAGAGCACTAGCCTTGAGCTGAAGAGCTGAGGGACAGTGCCCAGGCCCAGAGTTCAAGCCCTGCAACCAACACAAACACACACACACACACAGAGTCTCAGGGACTTTCCTGCCCAGGCTGGCTTCAAACCTTGATCCTCAGATCTCAGCCTCCTGAGTAGCTAGGATTACCTGTGGGAACCACAGATGCCAGGCACATTTAGAATTGCTTGAAGCAGTGGAGGAGCCACTGCCACATGGGATGCAGCTATTGTGAGAAGGGGGTTCATTTTAATTTATATTTAAAAGTTGATGCACAGCTAGCAGAGCTACAATCCTTCAGGTAGCAGGCCCAGAGCTCTGTGCCTATGCCACCCACCAGCCTCATGCAGCTCAAGCCCAGCCCACAGCCCTAGAAGCACCTCATCCAGGTGGAAGGGCTACATTAACAGCCTCATGATAGATAGAATGTCAGGATGTGTTCATAATAGGCTACAAGGACTCGTTCAAATGAACCCTTTCTTCAGGATGTGGTGCGAATGCCTCTCCTTAAATGTGGCCTCAACTGTGACTCACTTTGCATGCAGAAGTGGCAATGGGTTCCTAAGAGGCTCTGTTTATCTCTCCTTGCTCCCTCTTCCTTGTTTTCACTCTGGGGGAAGCCATCCATGGAGATACTTATTTTCTCTATGGTTTGACCTATGTGTCCAGGACCTGAGATCTCCTGCCAACAGTCACAATCTGAGCGATACAGGAAGTGGTCCAGCCCAGCCCTCACAGGACATAGTGACTGCACTTCATGAGAGACCTGAGACACAAGCAGCCCAGCTTAGCCCCTCTCAAGTTCCTGACCCACAGAACCAAAGGAATGATAAGTATTGTTTTAGGTCAATAAATTGTAGGTTAATTTGTCACATAACATAAGCAATGCCCTCTCTTTGGGGCCTCTTAAAGTCTGTCCCTTCTCTTGGAAAGGCGCCCTAATGCTTGGTCTGAGGCCACCACAGTGCCCAAAGGCCAAGACACAAACCACAGACACTGAGCAGGTCTGCCTATGTGCTCACAGGCTGTTTATTATCCAAATAAAAGGAGGAGAGAGGATGAAGAGAAAAACCAGGTGCCCCACAGTGGTGGAGCTGAAGGGAAGTGAACAGAAAGGCTCCTCTTCTTTCTCTTGTCGCTGGCTCAGGGCACTTCAGCTTCAGAGGGGCCTCTGGGGGTGGCTTAGGGGCCAAACCCAGCTGTCAGTTGGGGTCAGGATCCCCATTGAGGCAGGTCCCAGGCTCGGAATGGCTTCTGTGTACACAAAATATCTCTGCAAAAGGCACTGGTGGAGGTGGGCAGCGGGAAGGCCACCCCATCACAGGCAGGTCCGCAGTGTCCTGGGTCTGGGTCCTGGTCCCTGAGACCAAACCAGCCTCCCTCAGAGGCTGAGTCTCTGAGGCCCCTGCTCCTCTCCTCTCCTTTCCCTCACCCAGCAGTGAGCAGGCATTTGGCAGTGAGCCAGATCTGGCCTTCTGAGGGACAACCCCCTCTTCAGGGTGAGTATATCTGGTGACCTCTAGGCCAAGAGCCCCAGGCGAGTGACTTTGGCCGAGAGGAAGGAGTGGATGACGAAGACCATGGTTTTGGGACACGAGTGCAGGTCCAGTTGCTGCAGGATGGAGAGAAGGGTCAGGGGCTCTGTCCAGCCTGGCCTCCAGGACAGTATCCCCCCCACTACTCCCAAGGTACAGAGGCAGCCCATCACTTACAATCTCTCCTTCAGCACCCCCAAAGTCCAGAAAGAGGAGGCTGGTGCCATCATCCGAGGACATCTGCAGCTTCTCAAAGGGTTGTCGGAGCAGCACAGCTCGGGCTGCACCAGGCTCGGCCGCCCATAGTGTGAAACCCTTGTCAATGTGCACAGAGAGGCTGCAGGGACGGCCGTTCCATGTGCAGGCTGCAGGAAGGCACGAGGGCACAGGCACAGCTGGTACCTCACACACTGCCAGCTCCACAGAGCAG